ATCCTTCTGCTTACAAGGTGGATAGAGAATGGGTGCCTCATTTTTATCATATCTAATATCTCTAATATCTTTAAAATCTAAAATAAACGATATCTTAGGTATTCACTAATTATATTATTGTTAAAATATTCAACTATTTTTCAAAGCCTAAATTTGAGGTCTTTGATAACAAATTGCATAATTAAAAATACATATGTACACCTCTTTTAAAACTTGCTTTCACTAGACAACATAACAAGTATCATTTTTAACCATCTGCCTTCTTTCACTAAAACAACCAATCCAATCAATGATTCAATTTATAGGAAGTCATTTGTCTTAATAATATGTGCACAAATTATTATACGTTTCTTCAAAGGGATTTCTAAGATATACAATAAATTTAACGGACGTTTTTTGAACGAGTACGGTTGAGACAACCATTTTTCGTCACAAGTGACCGACATAGTGACGTCATTTTTATATTGTGACGTTACAAACAAGGAGCAAAACTTTATTCACAATATGCTATTTATAGAACTTGTGTATGGCTATGTGTGTACCAAATCTTTTTCTAATCTGAATTGTTGTTTTGTAGATATAGAGATAGTTCGCGAACTTTTTGATCACCCCTCGTAAATTTAAAAGTTTCACTGTAATAAGTACATGTAATGTTAATTCAGAAAATGTTAAATATTTCTCAAACGTGTATAAATTATAATTATCACCATTAATGGATGCATTTGTATCACTCATTAAGGAACACGTTGGTCATAATAACAAGAGGCCCATGGGCCTTATAGGTCACCTGAGCATTATGCAACAACTTTCCAGTTACAGTGTATTGAATTTGATTCATGTTTTAAGCCAGATGCTATATGGCATTCACAATTTTGAAAGGGCACCATTGATCATCATAACAATAAACTTAGCAGTTGCTTAGCTTGGTTACTGAATACCCATACGCAGGGTAGGGGAACAAAAATGCACTCCAACTAATCAGTAATATTCATCAATAATCAGTAGTGCCCCTAACACTCTGACATAAACCCCTGACCCTAGGTTGCACAAATTTTTAAAAGGCACCCTTAAAATTGCCTATCAAAAAGTAAATAAATGTTTTATAAATACAAAGGACCAGATTTCAAACAATTAATTCATTTTCAGTATATAAGTAGAGCCCCCCCCCCCACCCCTGACCCTGGGGCCTTGAAATTCACAATTCTGCAAGATTAGGGCCTTTGCTCATCATAACTATATAGGTAGTTCATCTGCTTCATACCCAGAGACAGAGAAGAAAATTTTCAAAGATTTAATGTATTTTCACTATATAATCAATAGAGCCCCACCCTAACACCAGAACCGCTGACCCTGGGGCAATGAAATTCATAATTTTAGAAGAGGCATTCTTGCTCATCATAACTATGCACTTACTTAGTTTATTTAATACCTAGGAGCAGAGAAGAAGATTTTCAAAGAATTCATGTATTTTCACTTTATAATCAATAAAGCCCCCCCCCCTCCCCACCACCACCACCACCAGAACCATTCATGCTGGGGCCATAAAATTCACAATCTTTGTAGAGGCACTCTTGCTCATCATAACTATGCACTTAGTTAGTTTATTTAATACCTAGGAGCAGAGAAGACGATTTTCAAAGAATTCATGTATTTTCACCATATGATCAATAGAGCCCCCCCCCCTCCCCAACACCAGAACCCTTGACCCTGGGGCCATAAAATTCACAATTTTGGTTGAGGCACTCTTGCTCATCATCACTATGCACTTAGTTAATTTATTTAATACCTAGGAGCAGAAGAAGATTTTCAAAGAATTCATGTAATTTCACTATATAATCAATAGAGCCCCCCCCCCCAACACCAGAACCCTTAATGATAGGGTCATTAAATTCACAATTTTGGTTCAGGCACACTTGCTCATCATAACTATGCACTTAGTTAGTTTATATAATACCTAGGAGCAGAGAAGAAGATTTTCAAGGAATTAACATATTTTCACTATATAATCAATAGAGCCCCCCCCCCCCTCCACACACACCAGAACCCTTGACCCTGGGGGCCATAAAATTCACAATCTTGGTTGAGGAACACTTGCTTATCATAACTATGTACTTAGTTAGTTTATTTAATACCTAGGAGCAGAGAAGAAGATTTTCAAAGAATTCATGTATTTTCACTTTATAAACAATAAAGTCCCCCCCCCCCCCCCACCAGAACCATTGATGCTGGGGCCATAAAATTCACAATCTTTGTAGAGGCATTCTTGCTCATCATAACTATGCACTTAGTTAGTTTATTTAATACCTAGGAGCAGAAAAGAAGATTTTCAAAGAATTCATGTAATTTCATTATATAATCAATAGAGCCCCACCCCCCCCCCCCACAACACCAGAACCCTTGACCCTGGGGCCATAAAATTCACAATTTTGGTAGAGGCACTCTTGCTCATCATAACTATTTACTTACTTGGTTTATTTAATACCCAGGGGCATAGAAGAAGATTTTCAAAGAAATCATGTATTTTTACTATATAATCAATAGAGCCCCAACCTAACACCAGAACCCCTGACCCTGGGGCCATAAAATTCACAATTTTGGTAGAGGCACTCTTGCTCATCATAACTATGTACTTAGTTGGTTTATTTAATACCCAGGAGCAGAGAAGAAGATTTTCAAAGAAATAATGCATTTTCACTATATACTTATTTAGCCCCGCCCTAGCACTAGAACCCCTGACCTCAGGGCCATGAATTTCACAATTTTTGTAGAGGACTCAATGCTGATTACAATCATGCAAATAGTTTGACTGCTTGGTGTCCAGGAGTAAAGAAGAAGATTTTTAAAGATTGCATTAATTTTAGTGGTTTTGGCCCCACCCCTCAGGCCCCAGGGGGGCAGGGATCATGAAATTCATAATTTTTGTTCCCCTTCACCCATAGATGCTTTGTGCCAAATTTGGTTGAAATTGGTTCAGTGGTTTCAGAGAAGAAGCTGAAAATGTTCAAATGTTAACACACGACACACGACGGACGACGACGGACGAAAACGGATAGCAATAGGTCACCTGAGTTTACTCAGGTGACCTAAAAACACCATCATCTTATGAGAAACATTATCCGGTTACGACAAGGAGCAGGCGGCATGACCGGCCGACAAAAGAAGCTTACTCCTCCATGGAACCCCATCCCACTTCTGTTGTTTTAAAGGTCCGTCTTCATGCTGCTTATGACTTGTTTTGTTGTTATGGATCTATAAGCTTAAGAACATTTAGTTATCTCCCTATTTAAATAAATGTGTATTGCTAGAAATTACAGAAAGTTATGATACATGATTTAAAAAAAACTGAAAAATCAATTGATATTTTAACAATCTTTCCAAAGACGTGATTGGATACGTTACAGAGACTTTAATTTATCGTTGGAGATGGTCATGTATAGTGTTGAAAAGTCGTCAATTTCGATGTTATTGCCTTTTTTATTTCAATTTTTTGTATTTCAAATTTTCTTAAAGTTCCTTGGAGTTTTTAAGTATTATAGGTATGGTAATTCAAATCCATTCTGTTTACTGGGAATGATAAATTTATTTTAAAGTAAACTGACATATGGTTTTAAGGAATTTCCTCTCTACAAAGGGAAAGATATGAATAAGTTGGATTACCACTTGCAGAATTAAATCTTAATTCCTCTAAAATACATTTCTAATTATGAGTCTTACAAACAAGACAATGTCGTTACCTGCTTTATAAGCGGGGACCAGTACCTACTAATCATGTAACTGTTATAAAAACAGAAGAAGAAAACAAACAATATTCAAGCTCAAAAGTAAATTGAACAATACAAATCAGAAGCAGATAAAACACGGACCTCTAAAACATCCAAGGTGGGATCAGGTGTCATGACAGAGTTAGTATCCCCAGCTGACCAGTCACACCTGCCGTGTGCTCCTTGTCATGATCATAAAATAAGTTCAAATGTTGAAAAACTATGTTGACAATTCAATGAGTAAAATGAGGGCAGAACAATAAGTATAAAAAACATCAGTCAGCTTTTGACTTTTAATGTAGTTAATGACAGATTTTATTTACTGACAAGGTCATTGTATTGACCATAGAACTTAAGAAATAATGATGGTGATATTCTCGTTTCATCAACTTTTTTGTCATTAAGTTAATTCGTTCTAAAAAAATTTTACACGTAGAGCATAGTATATTGCTGCATAAGTAAGAGAAGATGACGATTGAAAAATGAAAATGTCATCATGTTTATCATAAAGCTTTCTTATTAGGGTACCATTAACATCTTTTTCTACTAAAATATCCAAATAAGAAACAGCTTCATCAGACTCTGTGGTGTCTTTAATTTCAAGTTCATTTATCTTATTCTTGCTTCTCTTCTGCATTGTCAAAGACAGAGAGATAGATGGTTTTCATATTACCCTCAAATTGTGAGATTTCAACATCCATTTGATACTTTTAAATTTTAATCCATTTTGGCAAAATGTCAAGGTATTCTTTTTTGTGTGTTTATTTGGCATTTTGTCTGAAGCAATTTTTGACAGAATTCATTTTATTTATGAAATAATGAAGCCACTTGAAAGATTGGGCTTTCCTAAACGTTGAGTGAGTAGAGGTCTTTTAGAAAAGCAACCAGAATACTGCATTATTAATCAGCTTTACTCCATGCTAGAGTATAAATTCTCCAATAAAGGAATGAACTTCAGTATAAAGGATTTATTGGAGACTGTTTATAGTAAATTTCTGAAGATGCCTGAAAGTTTATAAACAATTTCTTGTTTCTCAATGTTAACCTTACACCTGGGACACTAACACTTATAAAATTCCGCATTTTTTACACAATATTGTGTACCTGAATTTTGTACAGATCGGACTGTATTTTAAAAGAATATAACTGAACATACAAAACTTTACACATGATTGAAACGGAACACCAGAAATCATTAGAGTGACTATGAACAGCTATTAAGAGAACAAACAGAAGGAATTTCTGCAAAAACAAAACATTTACTTCATAAAAAATATAACTTTTAAAGAATACAGTTACATATGGAGGACTTCCAATGCCTTAACACATAAGCTTTAAATAACATCAAAATCTGAATGGTCCAAATATAAAATTGATAAATCCCTTTAACCTGAAATACTGAAAACATTATACACCTTAAAAACACTGATGACATTAATATGAAGTGGTTTTCATAACAATATGATATAACAACAATGTCTAATGTTTTGTCAATCCATATAAAAAAATTATTTGTTCAAATTCTGCTAACATACATGTATGTTATTATTATTCTTTGAACAACAACTGCGTAGACTCTTATCTTTTGAACATCATCTTATCATCCGTTTTCAATCATGCCATAGACATGCACTTATTTCTGTAGTTCATACTTTCTCAGATCTTTGTACAAAATAAATACACATCAGAAAACAGTTAGGTGTGTATAATCAATAATTTGATTAATATCACAGAACCATCTAGGTCTGGGTTTATCTTTCACTCAAAGCACTTAAAAACAAATGCAACAAGTCATACATTTCAATCACTTTCACAAATGCCCCCCAAAAATATCTCTCTCCTCAAAAAATGATATTCTCTTCTTCACAGATAAACCTTAATATTTTTATTCCTATCCAGGCCAGGATATTTGTAGTAGTGTTTGAATTGTTTTTCTTGGTCTTCACTTGTGGTGTTTCTTTTCTTTCCCATAAGCACTGTCTAAGCCAAGTCCAGTAAACACTAATACAGTTCCCATCCACTGCCTGCTGTTCATGGGGTTCTGGAAAATTATCACTGAAGCCAAAATGGTGAAAAACTTTCGCGTAGTTGTGATGATGGAGCAAGTTAATGGTCCATATGTTGATACGGTGAGGAAAATAAATGTCTGAAAAGAAAAACAAAACGTCTCCAGTTTATCATAAATAATGATTCATGACTTTGGATAGGCATGTGCATTCTGGAAAATTTGAAAATCCAGTTGCACAAATAGTAACCACAACCCACAGAGAATAAAATAAAAAAAAATACAAGCACACTTACTGATTTTAGAATTAAGAAGAGATTTATGTAAGAGTGAAAAACAAAATTAGTTAAAAGTCGCATAATCATTTTATCAATGTAGATTTAAATCTGATAACAATATTAATGCCTAGAAAGCATATACTGAGTGATGAGTATGTGTGTTAAGCTCTTTGTAAAGTTAGAGTTATAAACCTTGAATCCAAATCAAACTCACCTGACCAGCAGCACTAGCTAAACCAAATGTCATCATCTGTAAAAGTATAGAGGGATGTCTCTCCATAAAACCTAGAAATGCCACACCCTCTCCTGAGACAACTAAACCTGGAATATAAAACAAGTACTCATGTACTCTTTGCTTGACAAACAAAATGAAGATTTTCAAAAGGTCTGAAGGACTCAGGGTCAAAAAGAACATTTTTCACTTGATGTCTTCCTGGAATAATCATATAATAAAGTATTAATACAGCACAGAATGTCTTACCTATGGCTAACCATAATATAGACCATATATTGATGTTAAACATCATACTGAAGGCCCCGGTCTTGTGTTCAGATCTCATCCTCTCCTGTATAGCTCCTGTAACACCATCTAGTGACAAGGACACCAACTAAGTGGAGATAATCAAAATTAAGATTGACATACAAAAACATGCAAAGGGAAACGATTCATTTAGTTAAAAACTTTTTAGAATTAACAATTATGCTTTATAATCTATCAAAGACAAATTTTTCTGTAAAATGTCACATTGCGATTTATTTAAATGCAAAAAATTCAGTTTTGAAGAATTAATATAATTAGGAAGCACTTCATAAATGGAAATTTCTTTAATTAATTAATGAATTTACCAGTAAAAGTTCTCCCACACCAATTATGCTGTCATGATCAGATTTCTGGGTCTTTCCCGAGTCTTTGTACAGGAACATGGCTACTCCCAGGACTATCATTAAAACAAACAAGAACTTGGCTGCGGGGTACCGCTTCCGGGCAAACAGGATCCCCAGGATCAACACTGGGATGGGCTTCGCTGATTTTCCCAAAACCTACAAGATTTTTATGATGCATAATTTTCATTGTACTATTGGAAATCAACATTACCTTAAAATTAAAAAAAAATTCTCTCTCTTTTAGCATTGTACACATTCATTTGACCTCTTCAATGATTTTTATGTTATTGACTGTATTTTTATTGTGTAAAATCATACACATTTTCATGGAGTTAAATTTCACATTTTCATGGAGGTAAATTTTCATGATTTGAAGTATTGACAATATTGAATCAGGGGCTGACAAATAGATTTTTCAAGCACTTGCCCACGGGCAAGTGCATGGTCAAATTTCACTTGCCCTACTTCAATTTTTACTTGCCCCACCAGCACTTTATATTCATCATAATGAATTAATTTGTCTCTAAATCAAAAAATATTTTCAACCTAAGATAAAAATGTTGTTTTGAATATTGGTGACATTTAAAACCACCTGCCATTAAGTACTATGTACCATACAATCTGTTGATTGATTGTATGCAGTTTTAATTTTCCACTCATTTAGAGTCGTAAAATTGCTATCATATTTCAGCTATAGTCATGATATCTGATATTTGTTTAAAATAGTGGTTTTGGACATTTGTTTTTTTTTTCTTTTCTCATACCTGGTATGCTTAGACGATTTTGTACTGAGTTTTTCACTAACATTGTAAACAGTTATGGACGATGTACTTATCATCCGCTTTGAATCGTTTACTGCCTCATAACTGTCAAAACTTTCTCCATTTCTCCAATGCCAATTTGTCACTTTCAATTAAGTACAAATACATGTACTTAAAACTTTCGGTAAAACTTGTAATGAACTGCATAATGATGACACAATTGAACTGGTTCGCATACGAAGTGTGACAAACAAAGGAAGATAACTCTTACAACAAAATAATTTTAATTTCGTGGAAAACTATGACATTTTTAAAAATATTTATTGATTTATTTTTTTCAAAGTTACTTGCCCACGGGCCAGTGCCTATTAAAAATTCACTTGCCCGCCTCTAAAATTCACTAGTCCCGGGCGTCAGGCAATGGGATTTGTCAGACCCTAGCTGTTGAATTTTGGGGATTTGATTTCATGGATGAAGAACATTTTAGACCAAATAGTAGTTGTGTTTATGTAGTGGGCTCAAAGTAAAGGGCTTCTTTCCTTCCTCAAAAACAACGAAAATTAAACCCCAAGAAAATTAAGGATTTCACGGTAAATCACTTAATGAATACATGTACAACACAAGTTTAATCTAAATAAATAAATCAAACATTCTGGGCGAGTGGCATATCATTTGGAAAATTTATAAATAATTACACTTTCCATAGTAGTAAGAAAAGAAAATCTTTTTATCTTATTCTAAGCCTTTGTCGTCTTTCTCACCTGAGTTGGGTATGAGACATGTTGTAATGCATGGTTACTGGCTAACATAGCTCCCAGATAGGACATCGAACAAAACGAAAACATCCTGCCAGGAGTAGTGTCCCTTTCCTTCTGCCAAAACATGGCTGAAAGAGATAAATTAACATATTAGGATTTGTATTTGTAAAAGTATAACATGTACCATGTATACACACAAATTTCTGCAATTAAATCTGCATCTACTTTTTTTCTCTACTATCAGATTGTCTATAGAACTAATTTCAATGCTGAACTACATGCAAATGTACTTTAGAACTTGCACTGAGGTTGCATTAATTTGCATGCCCAAATTGCAACCAAGAAACATTTCATTTATTCATTAACTCAAGAGCACTTGTTTTCGTAAGTTTTTCTGTATATTATCATTTAGATAGTTATTTAGTACATTCATAACAGAACCAAATTTAATCCTACAATATGCCCTATACAGCTACACATAATTATCATCTTATCTAGATATACATGTACATGCATATGATTTTTAATGTACAGATAAAGATGAGCATTACAGTATAACCAAGATGTACATAAGATTAGATTTTTTACCAATCTTTGCTGCGATGGCATTGATGATACACTGGACGAATACAAGGGCCAGTGTATACTTAAATTTCTCTGTCTTTTCTCCCTCTCCATATTTTCCCTTTGTTCTACAAGAAAAGAATTAAAACATAACAACAGTATTGTCAAAAAAATGTGTACAAGGCCAATGAAACAAATATATTTTAAAAAAATGATAATTAAGAGATTTTACATCAGAGATAAGAGAAAATCTGGCCAGTTCATCCGGGGTCAGAAAAATTTAAACCCCCCGAATTCTTGACAGGTGCTCTAAACAATCAAGACCAAGAAATGGGGGGGGGGGCTTAAAGTTATCTTGATGATGTCTTTTCTAGGTAACAGTCTTACAGACTGCAACATGTGTTATTTTTTTTGCACTCACATTGACTCCTGAACAATTCCATAATAAAAGTAACAGAGGAACGTCCCAGCTGCACACACGAGCAGTTTGTTCCGACTTCCCGTCATTTCCACGTGTTTCGTCTTATCAGGTATGGTGACTACGTGTGTCGGACCTGAAATCGAAGAGTCACCTGTCATACACTATCTATCGCTTTACTCGTTATAAATTTGTTTTCATGACGTGTCGAATTCTCAAAACACCGCAAGGAAAGCATTACATCCGGCATGGGTTTGGGTAAAAGTAGTTAAATATTGCCGAGATATGTAATGTTATTATTAAATTTTAATGAAAAAATATCCTTTAGTCTTTTTAAATTTATACGAAATAATTTTAAAATACCAAAGATGACTAGAAAAATATCATTCTTAAAATATATGTTAAATATATTCTAACAATTAAACTTACGATGCATGCTCTGTGTAACTAGGTTTACCCTATTCTTGCTGCGTTAATCTTGTTTGATTGGATAATAAATTTAGATCGAAGGTGTTTTCCTTTGATTACTTTTCAGATACTAACCTTCCTCACTGACCACATGGACTTTTCCGTTTTCTTGTTGTTTTTCACTTTCCATCACGATGAAGTTTGCTCCTTACCGAAAACATGCATACTTTTCCTCCCTTTTTTATGTTTTTGTCATAAAAGCTATAAATCACAGCTGCACAGATGTTTTTTAGTAAATTATATTGTTTTCCAAAAATTAGCAATAAAAATTGCAAGATCAAATTAACATCAACAATAACAATGGTCCCATCTCGCTTAATACATTCTCTAGTGAAGTGAAACCTAAGAAGTTGAAAAATGACACGTAGCACGTCATGACCGTTTAATTAATTCAACTTGCAGTCTTAATATTCCTGGCCAGCTGCTGTGTATATATTATGGTAATTTACAACCTTCAAGAATGTTAGCTCACAAATTCACATCAAAGGCATTGATTGTTTGTAATCATAAAAGTTAATACCCACGAGACTAAATTATTGACAGCTACTGTACACGAGTTACGTACAGGTAACAGGAAATTCATGCTACTTTATTTCTGTCAGAGGTTGTCTTGTTAATTAACTAGATCGTGATATATATGCTTCGGCGCGGATCTGTTTGCCTAATGTTTCTTTCAATTAAGTTATATATATTACTTAGTTTTCTTAATGAATTTAAATAGCTTAAAGATACATTTTTGTCTAAAATTAAATTTGTTCACAGTTGGAAAATATGAACAGATTAAGGAAATGATAAAATGAAATTCATAGTTTGAGGTATGTCAATGAACCGAGACAGCCCGTTTTGTACGTCTTATTGCCTTGACATTTGTGTTAAAGTTTATAGTTTAAAATATTCTAAAAGATTTGCTTGTAACACGTGTAATAGAATGAGTACTTTTATTTCGAACTAACACACGCATACTTATGGATTAAAAACTGCAGGGGATGGACAGAAAATTTCCAATTCTGTGATTGGTCATCAACAAATTTCTTAAGCCTGTAAAATGTTTATCACAACGAACTGATTTACTCTCTATTTTGGAGAGCACTTTGGTGGTTCAATATTAAGTCATATGTTTCTCCTTAACTAATTGATTTTGAATGACAAAATTTCATCACCAGATAAAGTTTTTGGCTTAACCTTAAGATCTTTCATGATCCCGGGCCTTGAGTTCGTCATTGACTGCATCTTTGTAGTCTTCGGAGACAAGGTCTTCCAACAAACTATTGGAATTCAAATGGGTACTAATTGTGCTTCGACAATTGTTGGCCTAATGAGTATGACAATTTATTCAGAATCGTTTTAAATATATCGACGTGAATTTATGTATATGTCGACTCGGCCACATCTGTATTATATTTGGATACTATTAAACTATAGACGAATATGGAAAATTCACAACTAAACTGCATGACAAGCGAGATGGATATACATGTGAAAAATAAAAGCCATTTACTCTCAGCTGCTAAAATTTATGGCCAAGGTATAAGTTTAGTAAACTATGCAAAAGTAGGACAAATTCACTTTCAAGGAAAAGATTTCAAATATCTTAGGACCAAATATGGTCTAAAAATGTCACAAGGAATAAGTGGTGAATACGTAGTCCATGAAATATTAAAGGGGCATGGACACAGTTTCAACTGAATTTTTTTTACCAAATTTAATTTTTACAATTCCTAACTAAGGCAATTCTAATGATCAGCAAAAATTTAAACATCAGTTGTTGATTTACAAAGGAGATACAGGGCAGAGAATTCTTCAAAATGTAAACAAGGCTAGTACATGTACCTTGTTTTTGTTTAGAACCCCTGACCCTGGGGCCATGAAATTTACAATTATTGAATAGGCACTCTTGGTTATCATAACTATGTTCTTAGTTGGTTTATTTAATACCCAGGAGCAGAGAAGAAAATTTTCAAAGAAATAATGCACTTTTATTATATGATCTATATAGCCCCGCCCTAACACCAGAACCCCTGACCCAGGGGCCATGAAATTCACAATTTGGTAGAGGCACTCTTGGTCATCATACATGTAACTATGTTCTTAGTTAGTTAATTTAATACCCAGGAGCAGAGAAGAAGATTTTCAAAGAAATAATGCACATTTACTATATGATCTATATAGCCCCGCCCTAACATCAGAACCACTGACCCAGGGGCCATGAAATTCAAAATTTTTGAAGAAGCACTCTTGGTTATCTTAACTATGTTCTTAGTTAGTTAATTTAATACCCAGGATCAGAGAAGAAGAGTTTCAAAGAAATATTGCACATTTACTATATGATCTATATAGCCCCGCTCTAACACCAGAACCACTGACCCACAATTTTGGTAAAGGACTCAATGCTAATTACAATCATGTCATCAGTTTGACTGCTTGATGTCCAGGAGTAAAGAAGAAGATTTTTAAAGATTGCATTAATTTTAGTGGTTTTGGCCCCACCCCTCAAGCCCCAGGGGGGCAGGAACCATGAAATTCACAATTTTTGTTCCCCTTCACCCATAGATGCTGTATATAAAATTTGGTTGAAATTGGTTCAGTAGTTCCAGAGAAGAAGTTAAAAATGTTCAAAAGTTTACGAACAACGTACGACGACGGACGAAAACGGATAGCAATAGGTCACCTGAGTTTACTCAGGTGGCCTAAAAATCTGCTTAGACGAACACATATCAGCATGTTTAACCTATGTAAACAAAAACGTGGCTCGGGCCTGTTTACAAAACAAAGGCTTGGAGCTCTAAATCTGTATTGTATCTCAAAAACTGAAATTCAAAAATTTCCTGATCATTAGAAATACCTTAGTTAAGTTTTTGTAAACATAAAAAATGGTATGAACATTTTTGGCTGAAAATGTGTCCAGGCCCCTTTAAAGCCATTGCCCCCAACTAATCAAAAAATAAGGACAAGGTTTAAAAACAGACAGATAGACAGACAAACGGCCAGGGTTATATCGGTTATATCTAAACCAAGAAGAAGTATACCACCCACCTGGGTTTCGGTCTTCGAGTTACTGGGAATACTGGACTATTCAACAAAGCTAAATAATATGTCGCGTTTATCTTCCTTAGTACAATAAGTAAACTACATAAATTATGTTGACCTGAGTCAGGTATTGAACCATCCTCGCAATGCATGCAGAGGTGCTGAGTCAACGTGTTGTCCAATGACAACAGAGTGTTGACTCCGGACCCCTGGCACTGCCAGGATGGTATTGAACAAGGACTCAACTTTCAAGGAATCCGTTCAATATAATTTTTTCAGACTATACACATTGTTATTTTCATGTGATTTAATTCATTATTTTATTTAGTAAAGACATACAATTAATGCAAAACATTAGATAGAGATTTGGTGCCCCAGTATTGGATTTTCACTTTATACAGAGAGAGAGATAAGTCGAGGATAAGAAAATGGGAGCAAGGGCGCTAGCGCTCTATATATCGAATCATTCAATGAATTGGAAATGAATAATGTTCATTTTTTTATTATGTATTATAATAATTCATTTCTGTTACTTCACTGGAATAATAACCGACTTAAATATGTATTGAACGACCGCTCTCCCACAAAGAGATCACACGCAAACTTCTAACCTGAGTTTTGAAATCTCGTCGTCTTACGTGAGAAAAAGATTTTAATCTTCCTTCTTGTTTCCCCAGGGTCCTTATGATATTCTTCTTCTCCTCGATCCTACATCAGTCCGGACTTTCATGTTTCCATCAGAATAGAAACTGAATCTTAAACATCTGGATTTGTCATAATGAGATGTTTATAAATGTTTTCCTCCATTGCTAGATTCCCATCTTATCTGTGTGGGTGAGCTAATGATACGTTTGTGAATTCTTATTGAAGCGACGATAAAAAACGATAGATCTGAAAGAAAGCACACTGCCTGTGTCAGGCGACCGTCAAAGAGAGGCGAACGTTCAGCATCAATGTTCTGCTGCAGTTCAACTGATCAAAGGACAACAACAGAAAAGTAATATTTACGTAATTTGATTCTTCATTCACAATTTTTGTCTTTTTTATTGCTTTGATTTATTTACATACACAAAAATAAACAAAGAAAAAATATACAATTGTATGTAATATTTTATTCTACAGAACTTATCAGCAGAAATCCATTGGTTATAGAAAACAAGGTACACTGTCAAGTAAGAGTTATCTTTCTTTGCATGTGGTTCACATGAACTTTAATGCTAATCACTTCCGGAAACAGTACCAGACATACGCACTTATCTCCCTTCTTGAATTAGGTGGTAAGATTTTAACTCAGGGCCGATAAGACAGCACGGGTTTAACGAAAACTTAAATGTATCTTTCCACATATCTACAAGTTTCTAAAACAACTATCAAACGGCGGGAATTAAGATAAATGCGTCGACTGTGCGATACTGTGATATTTTCGATAAACATTAGATACGGATCTGTAATGGCTGTCGGAGAGCCCTCCTCGGCGTGCGGCACGGTTCCCCATACATTAATTAGAAGAGTTTTTGTATCACAGCTGTGTCCGTCGATCTCAAACCAAATCAATCTTTTTATATATATTATAAATTTTTCTCAAATTTCTCAATGAAATATACTTGAAGGAATTTTTATGAATTTTTATTCCAGTTATTTCCATAAAATATTATACCCCATGCATTCAATGATGTTTTCCAGTGCTAACACTAAGGGTTATTTTTTTGACATGGCGATTATCTGTTGCTATGATAATAAAAAGAATATTCCCCTTGATATCTAATGGAGTCGGTAATAACGTTTTATAGAGGATGTCGCTACATGCACGCTGTAATGAGCCGCTTGATACAGTAGTGTTTCGGAAAAGCTTCCAATCTTCAGCCGGAATCCACTTGTCTGAGTAATATACCCATTCTAGTGATAATACAAACGTTTTATCGTATTGTTGACAACAGGCATTATAACATGCGCTTGAACATAGAGAGGTTTCGGATAAAAATTATCAATTTTGTATCTTATGTGTCTTAGTTTATTCCCCTTTATCTTTCTCTCGAATTACCTCTGTTCCCTCCTAATCTCCAATTTGCCGATAAACCAAGCTTATTACACAGAGTTTCAGCCTACCTACACCATTTGCACTCAATGTTTACTTCAATGAAATATATTAATGTGTTTTAATGTCGAAATTAGCTTTTTTTTCATTAGGAATTAAAACTTTCTTCTTTCGGAACATACATGCAAGACATATCGTAAGTATTCTATATCTTCTCGAAATATTGGTATTGTACTTTCTTATTGTAAAATTCTTCAGTATGATTGTCTGCTGCTTGAAACTAGTGGGTTTTTGCATAGATTTTATTAAATACATGTTATGCCCTGTTGTTAAAAAT